CCCAGAGTTGGAGAAGGACCCTTTTGATGGAAAGCTGTGGTTTCTTACTGCCTCTCCTTCTGTTCTATACTATAATCTGCCCATGATGGGTGGAGCTCCAAGACAGATTACTAAAGCACAAATTTTGGACAGTCTAGAGAATAAAGTCAAGTGTGAAAATGTATCTTATTTGTAGGAGCTATATTATTTGGACCTGAGAAATGGCCATCCACCAGGCAATAAATATTGTCAAGGAAACTTCTCCTAATTCACCAGTGAATGCACCTTCTTTTCTCACGTGCAGTCACTGCAGAGACTCAGCATAAGCTGTTCTCTTTTAGTGAATGGAGTGTTTAACAGAGAAACACCTTTGGAAGCAAACATTGAGAACGTGTTATTGCAGCATGTTTGGACAATGAAGTTACCTTAAGAATGATGGGCTGGGCACAGTGGCTCAGACTGTAATCCCAGTACTTTGGGAGGCCAAGGTGAGAGGACTGCCTGAGCCCAGGGCAATTAAATGATAGATTCGAGATCAGCCTGGGCAACTTGGTGAGACCTCATCTCTATAATAAATCACAAAAACTAGCCGGGTATGGTGGTGTGCATCTGTAGTTCCAGTTACTTGGAAGGCTGAGGCAGAAGGATCGCCTAAGCCCAGCAGGTCAAGGCTGCAGTAGCCATGAGCGTGCCATTGCACTCCAGCCTGGGCGACAAGAGTGAGACTCCAACTCCAAAGAAAAAAATGATAGAACCCTGGTTGGGCACAGATGGCACTTTGGGAGACCGAGGCAGGAGAATCATTGGAGCCCAGGAGTTTGAGAACAGACCAGCCAAGGCAATATAGTGACATCTCATTTCTGCAAGCAATCAAAAAATTAGCTGGTATGGTGACATGTGACTGTAGTCCCAGCTACTTGAGAGGCTGAGGTGGAAGGACTGCCTGAGCCCAGGAGGTCAAGGCTGCGGTGAGTCATATTCATGCCACTGCACTCTAGCCTGGGCGATAGAATGAGTCCCTGACCCCCCCCCCAAATTTATAGAAGCCTGGATTATTTGTGGTACACTTGAGCCTCTTCCAGCATTGCAATGCTACCTGCAGTCTTCTTTTCTATAAAAAATTAATAACCTTCATCTCAGGTAGGTCACTGTTTTTTGCCTTTTTTTTTCCAGGTTTTCTATTATGTGCAATGAACCAAATTCTAACTTTGTGTTGTCCAATATAGTAGTAATTAGCCACATGTGGTTATTTAAATGTAAATATAAATTAACTGAAATGAAAAATTCAATCCAGATACGATGGCTATAATCTCAGTGACTCAGAAAGCTGAGGCAGGAGGATCACTTGAGACCAGGAGTTCAAGGCTGCAGTGAGCCATGATTGCACCACTGCACTTCAGTCTGGGTGATGGAGCAAGACCCTATCTCTAAGAAGAAGATGAAAAAAAATCAAGTCCTTAATCACACCAGCCACATTTTAAATACTCAGTTGCCACACGTAGCCAGTGACAACTAAAATGAGCAAAGCAGAAATAGAACACTTCCATCATCCCAGGAAGTTCTGTTGAATAGCACTGTCCTAACTAACACAGGTGCCATCTCACAAAGATGTGTACGTTCTGGTGAAGGACATAAAGACAATCTTCTCTCTGAAGTATCTGGTAGAATGTGTACCATTGTGAGATATGACTATGAAGGTCAAAAGGGACTCATGGAAGAAAAGGCATCTGAGATGAACTTTGAGGCTCACACAGACACTGAGAGGGTGCTCCCTTCAGAATGGGCAGCTTAAATAAAACCTGAAAGCAGAAAAGCACAAGTGATGTTCAGAAAAGTCTAATTTTATTGATGTGTAGGACATTGAAATAATCATGTCTTGAAATGATTCAAGTCCTATAAGCTCTTCTGATGGCAGAGATGCTCCCATGGTCACCACTTCTAACCCCACACTGAGCATGGGATGGGTGAGACCCCCAAATACTTACCTGTTTACTAAGACACAGATTTTGGACAATCTAGAGAATAGAGTCAAGTATGGAATTGTATCTTATTTGTAGGAGCTATATTATTTGGACCTGAGAAATGGCTATCCTCCAAGCAATAAATATTGTCAAGGACACTTCATCCTAATTCACCAGTGAATGTACCTTCTCTTCTCATGTACAGTCGCTACAGAGACTTAGCATAAGCTGTTTTCTTTTAGTGAATGGAGTGTTTAACAGAGAAACACCTTTGGAAGCAAACATTGAGAACATGCTATCACAGCATTGCTTCTGCATTGGCATCTATTCAACAGGTTTATATACACAGGATTGAAGGGCAAATCTAAGCATGTTTTCTTAAAGATTCCTCAAGCGTCATTTTCTTTTAGCGAGTGGAAGTGTAAAACAAAGCAGCAGAAAGACCAAAAACACTCTATAACGTATCAGAATGAGCAGTTCAAATGGACAGTCTGGTCCTTCCATTTTATTCACCATTTCTTTGAACACATATTTTTACACTATATAAAGTTCCTACAGAAACATATAGTTAATATACAATACCATACAACGTTTGACTGTTCTGTGTATTGGTAGAGGACAGAGCTTTGTTTTGGGTGCCAGGGGTTGACTTGCTTACAGACATATTTACCAAGTCACTACATATATGTATTCCTTCCAGATACAGACACATCTGAATTCTTGGGTTCTTTCTGCACTGATTATATAAAAGCTAAAAGACAGTTTAGCATTTCCTTAAAAGCCTTTATATAAAAGGTCAGACCTGGTAGTAAGTCATGAAGCACCAAAGCAGAGAATTTGCCAAATGAGAACCGAGTCCCCAAGTGGAGCCGAGATAAACCACACATAGTTGGAACTCTATGACCTCACTTAGTACTCGTCTGTGAAGCCGAAGAGTCAATGCATATTTGTTGAGCAACAATGGCTAACATTGATTGTCTACTCCATTCCAGAAACTGCTATAGGACAACAGGGACACTAAGAACAGGGCAGAGGAGAGGTCAGCTCTCTCAGAACCCAGATTCCTGAGAGATATCCCATGGAAACACTGTACTGTCGCTCCCCATGGTAATTATACAGAGATTATGTATTGCTCATCCACGGATACACACATGAATTTTCAGCAAAAAAAGGAACAGGAAACATTTGAAAAGATAGCTGTCCCTTCAAAACTCAGTTGCCAACAACCTGCTAATTTGCCAACTTTCAAAAGACTTGGATCTCTTACACACTTTCCTGTTCATGCCAGCACTGTTTTTTTCTGGACTCCACAGTCCCAATGGTAGAAGTCATGTCTGTAAGTTATTGATGTGACTCCACCCAGGAAATCCCTCTGCCCTGATAGGCTTCAACAAGAAGGGTCACTTCTGTACCAGATGCTCATTGTTATGTTACCCAACGATCTTCTGCTTAATTTTATTTTTTTTCCATTGGGAGGAGTCTAGATGGGAATGTCCAAAACAAAAGAGGAAATATTCATATCAAAAAGTTATTAAAAGAATAGACCAATCATTGCTTTGTTAAGCACTAGCCAGGCCATGTATTCTTTGTACTGTGGATGCCGTGTTTTCTTAGCTTTGGCCCCCTCCCCTACCTTGGGAAGGTGAATCTCCTCTCTCTTTCTCTCTCTTTTTCTAATTTACTTTCTAAATAAACTATACTTTCCAATCTAAAAAAAGAGGTCAATCCCTTTGGGTCCCCTCCCATTGGAGCTTTTTCTGTCCTCTCAATAAATCCTTTAAAAAAAAAAAGAATAAACCATGAGCTATAAGGGCACAAATTTCACTTCAGATAAGAACCACACAGCTGCCCTAGGGCAAAACAGACCTCCCTGTGTCCAGGCCACCGCTCTGACATCTGGCCCCTGTGTCCTCCCCTAGTATTGAACCCATCTGAATCATTGCTTTAAAATAAAAAGCAAGCCTTTACGGCACTTTACAAATTTACAAGAAGTTCTTATATTCTCTTTTTCAGTTCTCATGGCCATCCTGTGAGGCCAGCCCAGATGTGGAACCTGAAATGAGATGATTAAGGCCACACAGCAGTGAATGGCAGAATTAGGACCTGAACTTGAACTTCTTCATTCCGTTCTAGGCTGGAGAAGACGTGGCTCCATGGGTAACAGGTTGGGTCCCTGACCTTTGCTGGCTGCTACAGTCAGACTGACACACAGCCAAGTATGCATGACAGGTTTTCAGACTCCTAGGCAGACCCGTTATGAGCTAGTCCAAGTGAGCTTGGCTATGGCTGTGTACTGCATGCAGCACAGGACTGCCTTGAGCACCTGACATGTCCCCAGACACTCCTTTGGAAACCCTGGACTGAGTCTGAATAAAACAGCAAGAATGAACCACAGAGACTTCTACCACACATGAGGCAAGGTCTGTCGCATAAAGTTTTATGTCTGGGTAAGTGCAACACCATAACTGACAGAAGTGTGCTTAAGGAAACTCCACCCTCAACTATGAACACAAGCTACAAACCAAAAGGTCAGGAAAGAAGAACAAATGGACGGGAAATTTCAGATGGAAAGAATCTGACCACTCAATTCTTCCCCGAAAAGCAAGCATAACTCATAGGTGCATCAAGCAGGATACAGCCCTACTTCTGGGGAGAAAAAGCTATCATACCTGATGTTGATATTCACAACTTTTCTTTCAGTAACAGTCAGTCCTTCGCCATGCTAAGACTCGCATACTGGATGTTGTACAGTCCCTGAGTACACACTTGCCAGACAGAGAATGAGTGGGTCCTCGAGACAGGGGTAGGAGCAGTAGAAACAGTCGAACAAGAAAGGACAGTGAGAAATTGTCACAGGCCATTGCCAGAATGGATAAGCAACATGTGCATGATGGACACAATAGTCACCAGGATCTCAACAGGGTAGGAAGCTGAGGCCCAAGTCTGAGCCAGGCGGGGAAAAAGGGCGGTGCACACTTTTGGTTACGAACGATCTCATTTTGGCCACAGCTCACCGGTTTTGCCAGGAGAAAAGAGGGTGACAGACAGGGGCACTTGAGTTTAACATCTGCTTCGGAACGTGCGGGTTATTCTGAAGCCATGGCAACAAACAATCTCTCTAAAGGTCTTCCGCATCTCTTGGCTGCGGAAGGCATATATAAGAGGGTCGATCACAGAATTACACATGATCAGTATGAGGTACATATTGAAGTGAGACATAAAGCAAGAGCAATAGAGGTTCTGAGGGCAAGAGATCATTAAAATGAGGTGGAGGAAGAACGGGGCCCAGCAGACAATGAACACTCCCAGCAGCATGGTGAGGGTGGCGGCGCCCTTCACGCCGGCCCTCTGCTGCACGGAACCGGACCCAGGCAGAGCTGCAATGCGCTGGACGTGGGTGCGTGCCAGGAGGAACATGTGTATATACAGAGACGCCATGAGGAAGAGCATGGTGAAGAACATGGAGATGAGGCAGATGACGACGTAAGTGGATTCGTAATAGATGATGAACACGACGCCGCAGCCGGTGCAAAAGGCCCAGATGCAGGCAATGGCCACCCCGGAGCGCCTCACGGTCATAATGTGGTGGTAGCGCAGGGCGTAGAAGATGGTGATGTACCTGTCCACCGCGATGGCCAGCAAGCTGCACATGGAAGCCACCACAGAGATGCAGATCATGGAGTCAAAGGCATTGTCAATGTGACGCACAAAAGCGTCGGCGATCACCAGGTGCTTGTTGTTGATTAAGTGTATGGTGATAGTCTCCCAGGCATTGGACATGCTCACCAGCATGTCGGCCACTGCCAGGCTGCACACGAAGAAGTACATGGGAGAGTGCAAGTTCTTGTTCTTCACGATGGCCCCTATGACCAAGACGTTCTCCAAGAGGCTGATGAGACCCAGAATCAGAAATACCTCCGCAGCAATGCCCATGTCTTCGCATGGCGAAGATTTGTTCTTGGCACTGGGTCCTGAAAGGTTGCCTTCTGTGGCGCTCAGGTTGAGATCCAAGAAATGCAGGTGAGATGGGAAACTCATTGCTGGAGAAAAAGTCCTCTTCTTGGCATAGAATGTGCTGTAAGACAGGTTTTTAATTCATGATCCAGAGAGGTTAACGGTCAACCAAAGAAATACGGCAGCATGCCCAAGGCGAGTACAACCTAAAAAAAAGTGGGGGCGGAGGGGGGGAATGAATGAACACAGTGCATCAGGGAAGTGAATGAGGCTTGTCCATTCTGATTTGTATCCCTGATCCCTGGAATAGGGTCCCTCTGACGCCTAGGCTTAGATTTTTCACCAGCCTCTTTGGTTCTCCTTCCTTTAAGCTCTCATTCTTCCACATACTTCTTAATAGAGTGGTGTTCATCTATCTGGGTGCCCAGGAAAGTTTCACGCTTTGAATGTCCTGGCACCAAGTTCACTCCCAACAGAGTCCTCAATTTATAACCTACATAATTCCACCCTGTCTCCGATTTTCACATTACTAAAGCGACTGCTCTACATTTTTGTCAAATAAGCTCAAATTTCTGAAGACGACACAGACCCATATCCTCTCAAGAGAGACAGACAAGTACATTCCTAACATTTGCCAGGACACTTCTCAACCCCAGGAGAATTCCGCTTCCCAGTTGTAACTGAGGGCCTAACCAGGGTGGTCTGTTTCCTCGTAAGCTTAGTTTCCATACACATGTCGAAACCGAGGAAAACAGATTGCTGGTTTTCCCTCAGTAAATATTCTTCCCTGGACCCCTGCATTATTTGGAATGCCACGAAGTCTGATGAATAGTTTAATAACTTCCACATGAGCACAGTATGGAGAAACAAGCAATTTAAGTTTACTAAGTGCTAGAGCAAGACACTTTATTCCTCTGTTGCACAACTTCTCTCGTGTTTTATTTTTGAAGATACCTTTGCCCTCCAAACTCGGAGCCTATTGAGAGGGAGAGTTCGAATACCATCATTCTCATCAATACCGGTCATCCTTTTGGGAGGTGAAAGGGGCCCAGGGATGACAAATGACCCAATGGCTGCAACATACACTATTCGGGTGATGGTGACACTTGCAGCCCAGACTTCACCAACTGCACAACATGCCCACGTAACCACATGACACTGGTACCCCCTAAGTCTATAAAAATAAAAATTTTAAAGGGGAAAAATAATTAGCAATCATATGCATGTAGGGAGCCGCAATCATCTGTATTTCTTTCCGGTTCTGTCTCGGAGATATCAACCGATTACACTAGGACAGTAAACATCGCCTCAAGCTGACTTAAAAAGCACCGGACAGTCCGGCTGCCGCCACGCCCTCCCGCACACGCAGGCCGGCAGGATTTGGCGCTTGTTCCGCGCGAATTCAAGGAAAGAGAACCCCGTGGCTAGTTACCCG